ACCATGATTTTTAACATTTATAATTAAATTACGAACTTCTTCAGTACAATGTTTAGAGCGCCCCATATTTCTTTAAAATTTCAAAATTTTTGTTAGTGTATAAATTTATCTAATATCAAAATTAATTACTTACTTTTTGCTTATTATTAAGAACTAATAATAATTAGAATTTAATAAGTACAGCATTTATTACACAAAAACTACTATTTTATTGCACAGTCTAAAAAAAAAAATACGAATGACCTTCAATCGATAATATTGAAAATTTAAAACTACACAGTGCTGCAATTATCTTTCTTAAATTTTACTATTATAAATTTTACTATTATAAATTATACTATTATAATCACAACATTTAGTTTATGAACAATAACGATAAAAAACAAACAATAGAAAAATATATTTTGATGTTCAAAGTTTGTTGATAGAAAAATAAAATACACACTATTATTTTACTGCACACGACTGTACTATAAAGAAACAAAAAGTGTTAAAGAAATTCGAATTTTTAAAAAGAACTTTTTTTGTTATTAACTTTTAAAATCATTTGAAAGAAAAAATCACGTCTGAAAGAAAGTCTGAATGAAGTTTAAAGTTTGAAAGATAGAATTTTAAAGTTGGAAAGAAGTTTAAAAAGCATTATTTTTTGCGCCAATATTTGAAATTGTATTGTATTTACTTTAACTTTTTTTTCTTTTTTTCTTTTTTAGCTTATTCGTTTCCTTTTTCTTTTTTTTACTTATATATTTTTTACTTATATATATTATAAATTATTTCATTATTAGTTTCATTATCGTAGTTTTTATTATTGAGCGTTGATTATAATTACAGTATTCATATTTTTTTTTTTTATTACATATTGCTCCTGCTGCTATTTGTATTACTGTCACTATTGTTATTATTGTCGTGATAATTATTATTCTTGTATTCATTATTTCATTATTAGTATTTATTAGTATTCGTATTGCCAATATTATTATCTTAATTATTGTCATTTTTATATTTTAGTATATTCTCTACTGCTATTTTATTGATGTTTAAGTTACTAATAATCTTTTTTATATCTATAGCTTACTTTATAAACTAATTTTTACTATAATGTCTCAACTTTGCAAAATTTGTAATAAACATATTCGTGCTAATCATTTTTCGTTTCAATGTAAACACTGTTTAAATTCATCCCATAATAAAAGTTCTCTGGGTAAAATTAATTTTAGATCATCAATAAACTCTTCCATCAATTTTTGGCTTTGTATAACATGCCACATTAGTATCTTTCCTTATTTTTCTATATCGGATAATGAGCTTCGCCTTCAATCGTCAATTGATAGTATACTACATCTCAATAATCTCCTAAATGACCTACCTCTCTAGAATCTAATATTTTCAATCAACTTAATAACTTTTTCTCTTATCAATTAAATAATAACAACGATGATAATATGAACGTAGTTGACAATCCAATTAATTGTAAATATATAGATATTAAAAATTTTAACTCTTCAAAAATCACAAATGATTGTTTTTCTCTTCTTCATTTGAACATTGCTTCATTAGTTAAACATTTTAATGAATTAAATTCACTTCTTCATCTAATTAGTTATGAATTCAGCGTTATCGGAATAACAGAATCCAAGCTGAAATATGATTTACTACCAACAGCTCCTATAAATCTTAATGGATATGTTTATGAACATACTCCGACCGAAACATCATTTGGAGGAGCTTTAATTCATATTTCTGAAAAACTAATTTATAAACCTCGAAATGATTTATTTATGTATAAACCCCAATTCCTAGAGTCAGTGTTTGTTGAAATCATCTTCCCTAAAAAGTCTAATATCATAGTAGGATGTATCTATCGCCATCCTAATATGGATATTGATGAATTTAATTTTTATCATATCTAGATGTTTTATTTGAAAAACTTTCCCTTGAGATGAATAAAACCATCCTTTTAATGGGTGACTTTAATATAGATCTAATTAAAGCAAACTCAGATAGTTCCATTGCGTAGTATTTAAACACCATTGCCAATAACAACTTTCTTACTTTTATATCCTTATCGACAAAAATTACAAATGACTCAAGAACTTTAATTGATAATATTCAAATTTAATTTCTAAAGATATTTTCTCCGGCAATCTAACTATTAGAATATCGGATCATTTGCCACAGTTTCTAATTTATCCATCTTTTAAAAGCAAAAAAAAATTATTTTCGTAAAAGCAATATTTTCCTTCGAAATTTCAAAAAACTTGATAGTAATCAAAAACGATTTCTTACAGATAAACTGGAATAAAGAAATTAATGGTAATACAAACAAATTATATAAAGACTTTTTCCGTAGCTTTAACTCTCTTTTAGACAAACACGCACCACTAAAAAAACTAAGCAATTGTGGCTTAACTCGGAGCCTTAAACCATGGATTACTCCAGCAATCTTGACCTCAATTAAAAAACGTTATATGATATTAAAAAAATTTTTCAAAACAAAAAATCTAATTATTAAACTAAATCTTGAAAAAACTTACAAAACCTATAGAAATTTACTTGTTTTTTTTTTAGCAAAAAAAAACATTTTTCCAATTATTTTTCTTCTAACAGCAATAATTTGAGGGCTACGTGGAAGGGCATTAGAAAACTTTTGAATATTCGTTCGTAAGATATCTCATACCCATCTTGTATATCTTCAAATAACACCATTATACATGATCCAAACAAAATATCGGAAAAATTCAACTCGTTTTTATACCTGACGAATTGCAAAAAAACATTCACTTACCCCAAAACACCAAACCTTGAATCTATATTCATTAAACCTACTGATGAAAATGAAATTTTATCTATTATTTTTTCTCTAAATGATGGCAAGGCTTCTGGTCCATACAGCATTCCAACCTTTATTCTTAAATTTCTTGCTTATATATTTCTCCATTACTTTGTAAGCTATTTAACCTCTCATTTGTTACAGGTATATTTCCTAACATTTTCAAAACAGTATCTGTTAAACCAATTCATAAAAAGGGCTCAAGACTTGACTGTAATAACTACAGACCAATATCATTGTTATCTCATATCAGCAAATTTCTTGAAAATTTAATGTATTCTCTTATCTACCACTTTCTTGATAATTCTAAGTGCTTATATGGCCGCCAGTTTGGTTTTCATTTAAAACACTCTACATCCCATGCTCTTATTAGCATTACTGAAATGATTCGCGGTGCAATCGATAGTGGTTCATTTGTTTGTGGCATCTTTATTGATTTCCAAAAAGCTTTTGACACGGTTGACCACAAGATTCTAATTAAAAAGTTATGTTGCTATGGCAAGCGGGGTATCTCTAATAATTGCTTTTCATCATATATTGAAAATCGTAGCTAGTTTGTCTCCATTAATGGGTTTGAATCCTCCAAAAAATTTGTTAAATATGGTGTCCCCCAAGGTTCTGTGCTCGGGTCTTTGCTGTTTTTAATATATATATATACGACTTGTCTCACTCTATAAGTAATTCCACTGTTCACCATTTTGCTGATAATACCAATCTTCTACGCATAAATAAATCACTTACTCAGCTTTGTAAAAATCCATCATTTGTGTCTTTGGTTTAATAGTAATTAAATCTCTCTAAATATCAACAAAACTTAGTTCATTATTTTTCACCCTCCAAAAAAATCATTAGTAATGATAATGTTAAAATTAAAACGAACGGTAAAAGAATCTTTGCTTCTGAATTTATAAAATATCTCGGAGTATTTCTTGACAAAAGCCTATCTTGGAATTATCAAATGATTGAATTAAATAAAAAACTCTTTTGAGCCAATAGTATGTTATCTTTAATACAACACTATGTTTCTTAACATACTCTAGTATCAGTTTACTATTCCATGTTCTCATCCCATCTAAGCTATTGTGGCGTTGTATGGGGGCAACAAGGAAGTTTTCTATTAAATCGTATAAACAGTTTGCAACGTGCTTCCATAAGAATTATGACATTTTCTCCTATTCAATCTAATATCCAAATAAGGTTTTCTGAATTAAAAATTTTACAATTTTAAGATCTTATAAAGCTTTACAACTGTCCTTTTGTGTTTGATTTCCTCCAAAATAATCTGCCGGGTTCGTTTAACAACTTTTTCATTACAGCAAGTGATACACATAAATACTATACTCGTATTGCTATAAATGATAATTTGCACCCTTCTTTTTTCAATACTGTCAAGTATGGCAAGCTCTCCATAAAACATTAATGTATTTCTCACTGGAAACAATTAACACCTTTTATAAAAAAAAAGATTTTAACTAAATAACCTTTTGTTACTGACTTTCTTCTTATCAATAGAAACCTAATTAAAAAATTTTGATGTGAACAAATATCTAAAGAATATTAATGCTATCTTTTATTATTATTCCTTCAATATATTATTTAATTAATTACACTTATTTATTTATTTTTTTTATTGTTATTATTATTCTTTACATTGTAACTACTACTATTTTTATTATTCTTATTACTATTATTATTTATATATCTTTGTTTTTGTTGCCTTAGTATTACAGTGGCGTTCCTAGTCATGGTGTCACCCGGGGCGGCAAATAGGGTGTCACCCATATTTATATGTAATTATTTTTATATTTTTAAATTATTAAAGCAGTGTTTAGAAATTATTAAAGCAGTGTTTAGAAACGTTGACACATGTAGTTTTAAACCTTGTTTTCGACAATAATAATTTAGTGTCTATAACTCTTTATAAATAATTCTCGTCTATAACAGAGAAAATAATTATTTGAAAATAAATTGTTGCCAAATAATTATTATCTCTGTTTTAGACGATAATAAATTATTATCATCTAAAATCGTCTAAAATCAGATTTTTTCTTTTATATGTTTAAAAAAACAGTAGTACCTGGATTTGATTTGATAGCAAAGTATAACAATAAAATAGCAAACCTACTGGTTTCTTAACTTCTTATCTGTGAAAAATAAGTTAAACGTTCACTTACCCTTTGTTAAATACGCAGATCTGTCCTATAAATGACGATTCATCCTCCTGATGACCACGAAATGGCAAATTTTGCTTAGCAAGAAACAAAGTTACATATAAGAGCCTATATAATATGTTTCGACATTTTTTCTTTTCATTTTTTGTAAAAGAAATTATTTCGGCATCGATTGTATTATTAGATTTTAAATTTGTGACCAGAATCTTCCATTTTTCCAAAAATCGCAAATGATTGTCAGATGATTCATGTTCATATACTTTTGGATTTAATTTCCACCGTTTTTGAAATCCAGTGACGAATTTTGATGCCAAATTGGTAATATTACTGGCAAATAATCGACAACAAAAACAGTATAAATTTCCACTGTTGGGTAAATATACCATCCATGAATGTAAAATTTTTTCACCATTTTTCATTTGTTTATAAAACCATTCAGAGGAAAGTTGACGATCATGGCCTCTCGTTTGAGTCACATTTCGTTGTACTACATTAAATGGTCCATCTTTGTTTTGAAATGTAGAACTTCCCTTTTTAATAACCTCAATTCGAAGATGGTCTTGAAGCGGTAATTTCCAAAAAGAGACGTCACAAAAGATTCTAAAGTTAATTTTTCCATCACGTTTCTCTAAATCGGTGATTTCGAATACTTGTGGAGATTCAGCTTCATTTTCTTGGTTGTTTTTTTTATATGTCAACAGTAAAGGTGCTATTATTAGAAGTTTCATTTTCACTTTCTTTTACAACGAGAAGCTTCATTTTCACTTTCTTTTAATGGAGTTTGTATCAAAGTACTATCTTTTGAAGAACATTGACCGTCATTTTGGTTATCTATGTATTGAAGTATTGACACTGCATGCTTTTTAAGGGATTTAAGTTTAGCTTCCTTTAATTTTCTTTGTTGATGTCGACTTAATCTCTTCATTTTATGCACCCCACGCGGCATTGTTATACAAAATATTTAAAACTTTAAACTAAATATTAAAACAAAATTTTAAAACTTACTACTTAAGCACTAAAAACTTTTTAAATTAAATGGTATTTATTAAGCACTAAAAACGAAAAATTAAAACAATTAATAATATACGATATTGTTTCAAAATGTATCTATTACAAAGTCACTATAATTTATGCACAAATTTTATAAAATTTTCAGTAATATGTAATATGGAAATTTTTTAAAATTGTTATCATAAACAAAGAATATGTTTTCGAATGTTTTAGTTTGAATTAGATGGTTTTGATATTCTGCAATGTGATGCAGTACTAACATTGAAAAAATATACGAATAAGACTAAGAAAGCTGATAAAGTGAAAAACGGTTAAAATCGCACCCACACAAAGTTATCCAAACCCAAACAAAATTTAAGTATGTTTTGATTATGAAGAATTTTTTTAGATGACATTAAGTCTTTATTTCATTTTGTTTATATTATAAGAAGAAAGCTAAGCGATTATATTTTCTAAATAATGATAACTATATCTTTCAGCATTCAGCATTTCGTAGGTCGTGTAAATAAATACCCGCTTATTTTTTTATGTAAGACTGTTTAACTATAAATCAAAACAAAATATAAGATATTAATAAATTGGGTGTCACCCAAAAGTGGATAACACCCGGGGCGGTAAGCAGCTGTAACTTACTTTTAAGTTGTTTTTGTTAAAAATTTTATAAAATTTATGAGATATTGGAAAATGTTTTTTAACTTAATTTAAGAAAACTTTTGCAACATTTGTTCTTACGTCAAGCGCAAAAGGAGGGTTAAACTATAAAATGTTACGTGATCTTGATTTTGATTTTGTTGCGGTATGATTTAGTTTATAACAAATTGTTTCTTCATAACCATTAGACGCCCGTAATGTAGTGAGAAAAGCCACGTTTGTAAACCAGTGGCATAACACAGACGACGTGATAAAATGGTTTAATAATATTCAAGACAAAAAAATTGTACTTTTATCCAGTTTGATATTAAGGAGTTTTATCTATCTTGCAAAAACTACTTTATGAATCTTTACATCACACTAAGCAATACGCAGAAATATCAGACAAAACACTTCGTTATAAATCATTCTAGAAAATCTTTGCTTTCTACTGATCAAAATAGTATGTGGGTTATGAGACTTGGTGACCCAAACTTTGACGTCACTATGCGAAGTTTCGATGACGCAGAGCTGTGCGAGGTTGTCGGTCTTTTTATCCTGCATACATTAAGCAACATATATGGATTGGGGTCAAATGGATTGTATTGAGATGTTGGTTTGTTCTGTTATCATAAAGTCAGTGGACCAGAATCAGAAAAAATAAAGAAAAATCTTGTTAACCTTTTTAAGCATAAATTCAATCTAGGCTTAACAGTAAAATCAAACTTGAAGATTGTAAATTTTTTAGATCTTACGTTTAATTTATCAAATTGTTCTTTTCGGCAATACAAAAAACCAAGTGACAACCAATGTACATATAGTCTATATTATATATTATAAAACTTAAAGGCATACAAAAATAGATATGAGGCATTTAATTTAACAATTATTTTGATTGGTAATTTTTTTGAAATATTTGTATTTTAACTTTAGTTTTGGTAAAAAAATATATTTAATTTAGTTATACTTTATTTTTAAGGTGGGAATCCATTAACTTTAACCGTTGGAACTAAATTTAATATATATTCTGAATTTATTCTTAGTATTTTAATGGAAAGAGGTTTAGATCCTCTTTCCAGTATGATACGTGTATCCATTGATGGAGGTCAAGGTTTTCTCAAAGTAATTGTAATTATCTTTGACAAGACCATTAAAAATGAGATACACATTGACAGTGGAGTTAAAAAGTGTTTTATACTTGCTATTGTTGAAGATATTTTTGAAGACCATTGAAATCTGCAGAAATTCTTGAGTAGATTATATCTAGATGATGTTACGCATCACCTTGCATTTGATTTAAAATGTGCTAACAGCATTTTTGGTTTATCATTCTGGTAAATATGCCTGCTTATGGTGTGAAGGTGAATGTACCCTAGAAAGTGGTACTCCAAGAACGTTAGGGTCTCTTGATCATTGGTACAAGTTATTTGTTGAAAATGAGGCAAAGTGATTGCAGATAAAAGATTTTAAAAATGGGATTATTCCTCGTCTTGTTTATTTTGATAAAAATTCTGAAGTTGAAACTAATCACTTAGTTTCACCACCAGAATTACAACTTCTTATGGGGATTGTGACACTACTTGGTAGACTATTTTTAGATCATTGGCCTCTGTTTACGAATTGGCACAAAGAGCATTATATTTTACTTCTTGGTTATCATTGGATAGGCTTTGGTGGCAATAATGCTACAAAACTATTAGAAAAAGTAAATATTTTAGAAAGAGATATTTTAGCATCTCAAACTAATTTGATACCTATTGTTCATTGTCTCAGAAAGTTTTCAAAAGTTAAAGAGTGCACATTTGGACACGAATTAGGCAGTAATGTTTCTTCAGTTATTGAAGAATTCAAAGTATCATTTTTTGACCTTCAGCAGTATGCAAAAATACATTTAAATGCAGAGCTGAATGTTACTTGGAAAGTACATATAGTGGTTTGTCATATTCTCCCATTTGTGAAATTTAACTCTTGTTCTCTTGGGTAATATGTTAAACAAACTGGAGAGGCTGTTCACAGTTCCTATAAACCAAGTTGGTCTCGATATAAACGAAGCATTGGGCATATAGATTATGGTAAATGATTAAAATCTGCCACTACCACTTTTTGCATAGATAAGATGTAAATACTTCAATATATAAGCAGTTGTGTTAGTATTTTTATTGCATTCATTGCTTTTTTCTTGCTTTTTTTCCTTTGTATTATTACTATAAGGGACTCTAATGATTTAAGTTTGAAGTTATAGATTATATCATAATACTTTAAAGAAGGTAATAAAGGATATTGATTTTTTAAATCATAATAGAAGGGGTTACTTTTATAGGGGGTAAGTTTATCGCTTTAAGGGGGTATATAGGGTTAAAAAATTATTTATTTTTGGTACTTCTGATCTACTTTAGATTTATTCAATACACAAAACTAACATATTTTAGCAGCATTTATCTTAATATAAAAAAATTAGAGGTGGGGAGAAGTGGCACACAGTGGTAAATTTATCAAAAAAAAATTGAACGAAAAGACAAAAACTTCGGCAAGATTATCAACAACTGAAAGATGTCAAAAAATTTGAGAAGTAATCTTAGTAAGATTTAATAAAAAAGTAATAAAAAGAAAAAAATTGGAAAAAAAAAAATAACAATAATATTAATAACAGTAAGTTTTTAGTCATTTAAATCATATCCAGCAAAATAATAACTTTTGAATTTTAAGCATTTAAAAGTCTCCAAATATAAGTTAAGGTTACGCTGGTTTGAATCCACCCCTGCTCCAAACTTCTTAATGAAATCCAACTCATGTTCCAGGTCATGTCAGATTTAAGATTATCACGATCACCCTGCTACTGGTATCATGTAATCCATTTCTACCTGGAAGACGTGCTAAGCTACATTATAGGGTTTGCTTTTTTTTGTCAAAAGCTATAAGGAATAAACTCCAACTTAAAAAATCCTCTGCTTGGTTGAGTAAATGCCAAAGATGATAAAAAGACTTATCTTGAGCAGATGCTAACTGCTTCCATTTACTGTCTTGTGGAAATTCTTCTAGGCACACATTTTAAAGGTAAACAGAATAGTTATATTGACCAGCCTCGAGCCCCTTCTTTTTCTATTGAACACATTCTTCATCTATTGTCTATGGATGGTGTCCCTGTTAATATTTTTGGTGTGCATTGTTGAGACCACAAGTTACGACATTCGGATAATTAGCAGAACTGAGACAAATGCATTGTTTATTGCTTTGAATGCCGTGCTCTATCTCTAAATAAGTCGCTTTCAACTTAAATCATTTTATTTAAAATGTTTTGGGTTACTTTGGAGTAACCCAAAACATTTTAAATAAAAAAGCATTCCCACAACCTAACTTTTTCGATGTATTTTTCACAAATATTGTGGTCTTAAAGTTACGTTTTATCAGTTAAGTTGTACATTTTGCAAAATTAACCAGACTTCCTTGTTTTTTATGAGACTAATTTAAATTCAACTGTTACTTCTTCAGAACTCATTATTGATGGGTTATCCACTGATTCACAAAGTCTCAAACAGTCCCAAGCTAGGTTAATGGGTGTACTTACGCATCAGTTCATCTATTTGTCGTGAAATCAGGTTTGAATCCTCTGACCATTTCATGGGTCCATGGGCTGATGTCTTTTCTCTCTCCACTGATAAATGCACCTCTAACGTAACCTCCTGGATCCAGGCAAGTATGGAATCTTTTATTCTTTTTTGTTGATTTAATTTAATATTGTAAGAAATCTATGTAAAAAGATACTGTCTGATGCCAAGCTCCATTGCTTATCCATGTAAATTTTGTATTTTACCTCAAAAGTGAAATTACACAGTTTTGAAAAGTCTTCAACAGTGTCATTAACTAAGATGATTCAATAATTCTATTTCTAATGAGACTGGTTTTATTACCTCTCCAAGGATAAGGTTGAACTATTAGCAAAGTACTTTTTTTTTTCTAATTCAATTCTTGAATCTTATGGCCATACTATTTCTTCATTTCCAGTTAAACAGGTTTACCCATTGTTAGACATTCAAGTAACCCCAGCTTCTGATGCTAAAGTTATATCTCTTTTTTTTTTTTTTTTTTT